GAGAAAAACCCCAGGCTCCCTCTGGGATTCGAACCTGGGACTCTTTCACACCAAGCCACTGCTCTACCAACTGAGCTACCTAGCCAGAGTCAAAATCCGGCAGCCGCTACAGGGGCTAGAGCCTAATTTAACATCTTCGATTTTCCAATTGTGGTAGTTGAGCCTGAACTATTGCGACACATCGATTGGGCTGGTCCTGACCAATTCCAGCATTTTTAAAGTACTACAAAGGGACTAAACCAATTTCGACAGCATCGATATTCCGATTGTGGCAGCTCAACTACCACAATCTGAATGTAGATGCTGTGGAAATCGGCTCTAGTCACTTTAATTTGAAAGTCAAAGATGTTATAATTGGATCTAGCCCCTGTAGTGGCTGGCAAGTGTTAGCCCTTGCTGGGTAGCTCAGTTGATAGAGCAGTCGCACCGTTCGTTTGCATTAGTTTGGGGTTCGTCTTCTGGTCGGGCCAGGTCTCCCCCCCCCCCCCCCCAATCGCTCTCATTACTGTAATTGTCGGTGTGTGTAAAGCGTTGCGATTGGTCCCAGGTCATTTAATAAGATGATTGCATAACCGGTATCGTCGTCGATCTGCGGCAATAGTGTAAACATTATTCTTTAATGTCAGGTTGGTGGCGGTGGCAATATATTGGTGCAGATAAATGGTGTAAGCGTGGCCAATTGGTTCAAAATCTAGGACGGGGCTGATCTTTACAAATCAATGGGAATTAGAATTTCTAGTATTAATGGGGTGGGGTATTTCTGTTTGTAAACCCGACTGTTTGTTTATCTCAACTCTCCTCAAGAAGGAGTCCGAGTCTGCGCAGATGCGTTTCCGGTGCATTTCCAATTCTCAGACGACACGAAGATTCCGGCTAAAATGGTAAGCAGCATACGTGTTTATTATTTGTGAAAGATTTTTGTAAGTCTACTGCTCAGCTTATTTGCCTGATTGTGCGAGTGTGTGTGAGTTCGTGGTCGAGTTTCCGTCCGGTGCTAGAGGCCACAATTTAAGAGATTTTTGCTTCAAAAATTTTCAGTTTGCAGATAGAATAATTGTTAGAATGAAGTGATTTTCTTCATAATCTTGTTTAGTGTTTTTTCGTTACAAAATTCCCGAAGATATGAAATTTATTGAAGTTTGCGATGGAGGCTGTGTGAATGACTCAAAGACAGTGATTGTTGACCACGCACTAGTAGTACTCTGTTAACTGTACATGTATGTGTGATGAACACGGGTTTGTTATGATCAATTAAAGCCAAGTAGATCCAAGACGGTAACCTTTATTGCCTTATGCTTTTCTCTTCTGACCCTTGAGCTTATTTGGCCTTCTTATATACAGTTTGCTCTCCAAAACATCAAACATTGGACCCTTGAGCAGGCCCCAAACCCCACACCAAGGGGCGATGAGCAGCTTCACAACTGAGGCCTGTCATTTTGGACCCCCCCCCCACCCCCTTCAAATAATCCTGGATCCACCGTGCCCATCATGTAATGATGATGATGATACCTTGATACTTCACGTGCCTTCACAGATTAAGAAAATTGTCATTGTCAAAGAAGGCAGGACATTTACTTTGGAAGTGTAGATTTTTAAACTTGTTTTCACATTCTGTATTTTGAGCAACTTGTCATTCAAATTCGAGAACGCTAACTATCAGTTTTTGGATAAATGCTGTTTCATGATATCAAAAGTTTGAGAAATGACTTGTTTTCATTGATGTCTGATCCGTGGTAGGCACTAGGACCCGATATACAGATACTGGGCCCTTATTAGCTAGTGAGTAACGGGAGTGCAACAGACCTGTCACCATGAAACGCACTAGTATGTGATATGCCTGTATATGGAATACAGCACGGCCGAGTCTTTTGTTCTGCTGCTAGCTGTGGTTTAAATGAACATATAGCAAAATATGATGCATATTCTAAGTGGAAAGTGTGCTCATAAGATTGGCGCCAAGTTGAAATATTGATGTCCGTGTCTCATTGTTGTTGGAACTTATAATTTTGGATGTGAGTATATATATATATATGTATATATATATATATGACTTTTCATTAATATTCCTTATTTCAACATGTGGTGACTTTGATCAGTGTTTCTGCCTTCCAGATAAATTGCATTGGGAATTTTATTACTATTAATATTCTAATTTTAATTTTCATTTTTATTTTCCTATTAATTAATAGATCATAACCCAAATCTTAAATTTTGTTCTTTTGTCCATTTGTTCATTTAATTTTCATTTAAGCATTTGCTTGTCATTTACTTTATTATATATTGATGCAGTCTGTATACAGATTTAAATACAGATCTGTACATTTGAATGTTCTTATCTGTCATGGTGTAGAATTAGAAATTAAAGTAATAAAAATTAATTCCCATTTCATTTTTTTGCAGGCAGGGCTTGTTTTGTTAGTTATCTTGGTGCTGCATGCCTGCAGTGAAGTAGATGCCAAGTCCAAATTTGTCTCTGTGTCACTAGATGCCAAATGGGAGTCGACACCACTGATGCTAGAAACTAGGTATAGCCTGCTTGGCAATGAGTTCATGTACTGCATTTATAAGAACCAATTACAAAATATTCAGACATGGGGAAACTCATTGTCTGATAGGTCATCGTCGCTTGCAGATATGTCAGAGGCTAAACATAGACTAACACAAATAAGATACTTAGTTTGACCAGCACAGAATTGGGAGCAACTGCAGATCTTTTGTAGTACAGATCCTCTGGACCTTCAGTTCTCAAAATTTTTCCTATATCTGAATATTTGTTAGATATAGAACACTTGCTAGTTCTAACATATTTCTGTCATAGGCCTTGTTCAGAATTGAAGTTATCGCACTAGCTGGATTGATCTATCTCAGTGGGAATTTTGCTTAGGTACAGTCAATTTAATCAGCTTAATTTGTCTGGCACACCCCCTCACACAGCAACATGAACAGAGTCATAGACCACAAAGCTTTCCTGACTTTACCCAAGTATTTTTTGTTAGGATGGGACGTGCCCGACAAGTGAGCTTATTACATTGACTGCACCTTGGTGAGAATCCATCCTCACTGAGACAGATTGATCCTGCTAATTTTTTTTTTTTTGTGTACAGACATATAGCCGTCACCTGCGTCTGTCGTCGTGTCTTTTTTTATATAAGTTTTAAGGAATATGGAAAATTGGCCCTTGAGAACTGCATAGTATAGTGGGGCCTTAAACAGATGATCTTATTTTGGTATGGGTCCTGTGAGCATGTGCCTGAGGTCTTATAAGCAAAGACAGTCACTTAGAATTAGCTCATAGTGAAAGATAGTCTGAAGGTTTTGGGTTGACTTAGTTTTACTATGAAGCTATATATATATATGTGGACAATTAAAATCTGAACATGAGGCTTTTATTATCAACTAAATTTTCACAACCTGCATAAGCTAAATGAAAATGACTATATCATTTCAGCGAGTTTCTGGCCAAAGAGAGTAATGCCATGTTCTGGGCTTTTGTGGATACTGTGGCAGAGGCCAACACTGCTGACATGCAAGATAGTAAGTATACAGTTTATCTGAATGATGTGATTTCATTTTGCATGTAATCTTTTATACGCAGTGGTTTCTACTGGTTTAACTGAATGAATGCAGTGGTTTCTACTGGTTAAACTGAATGAACTACATGCTATTAAAAAGATTGTTTTATGAATTGCCAAGAATATACTTCAGCTTAAGGATCAGTGACACTGAGTGACCCTCATCAGTGATCAATCGGCAGTTTCTATCTGCATTGCATGATATTCCCAGTCACTGGAATGCTGTTAGAAGTCACCTGCGTTCGTCATCGTGGGCATTTTTGGCAGCATTGCCAATGCACTTTCAGTGATAACCCCTAAGTGGAAAACCGTTTCACCTTTTGGCTTAAAACTTACAGAACTGATGCATATTCAGAAAATGTAGATGTGGTTTTAAAATCAGCATGATTGGTTCAAGGAAAACCGAGAGGCCTTTTGTTTTGAAACTCACAGGAGTGATCAATCTTACTGAAATACAGGTTGAGTTTGAAAATCATATCAGACCATAATTGATGATTATGCTGTTAAGCATTATGTTTTATTGTATGAAAATTGAAGAAAACCTATTTTGGACATTGCCATTATGGTGACCATTTCAGGAAAACTTGCTGCTTATGATTCTCAAACTTACATTGAATTTTGATGGGCCTGAAGACCTATGCTAATCACATCTAACATGTATGTTACCTGCAGTGCATAGTTAAAAATTGTTGGCTCTAAAGCATTATGTAATAATTAAAGGAAACCCTGTTTTGGGCACTGCCACCATAGTGACCATTTAATTAGTACCACCAGTGTGTATGCTGGCTGTACTTGTGGTTTTAGTCCAGACCTGTCTCGTAAAGCTCCCTGGCTCCGCAGTTGGGTACCGGAAACAAGTCACCGTTACCGCTTCTCCTCCTAGACCACAAGGACCTGTGTCCCCATATCTTGGATTTAGGTCACATATAATCTCAACTTAAGCACCCTGGGTTTTTTGCCTCAGACTGTGCATTGGCCTGGGCGTGACGCTTTTTTAAATGCACCCTTGACAAAATTTTTGAAAATTCAATGCTAAATATCTCCCAAACCAAAGGAATTATGGGAAAAAGTACTTCAGAAGTCTGACCGAAAGTCATATGTGGAGATTCCAAATATGCCCTTGGATTTGACTTTTGATCTGCTTTTCACCATGAACTGAATTTTGCATATTTTCTGACCTTTATATCTCCAAAATTGGCAAAGAAATGCACAAAATTACTATTGAACTTGTATAGGAAGTCATATACTGTGACCTTGAAATTGACCTTTGACCTACTTTTTCCCCACGGACTGAAATTTGCATATTTTCTTGTCCCTCATATCTTCAAAACTAGCAGAGATATGCCCAGTGTTGTCCCTAGGTTTTCTCTTTTGTCAGCAAGAGAAACTGATGCAACACAGATAACACATTTCAAGGAAAACCAATAGGCCTCTTGTCTAGAAAATCACAGGAGTGATCAATGTTAGGAAAATGCAAGTCAATTTGAACATCTGCTTGATTGGACCATTTTTACAGTTATGTTTTTTCACATCTTTTTCTTTTTGAATATTTTGAGAACTCTTGATTATTGCATTTTATAGAGCTTGGCAAGCAAAAGAATGGTGATGGTGTCCCTTTTTTATTTGTTTTCCATGCAAGTGCGCTTACTCCAGCTGGTGGTACAATTTCCAGAGGCGGTATCACCCTTCTGATCCTCTAGTGAAAACCATGTCATTAACACTTCTCAACTTACAGAAAAGAAACATGGGACAAAAATACAGCTTGAATTTGAAAATCAGTCTAATTTTGCAATTCTGCAAATAATTCTCTGAGCAATTTTATTTTTATGGTATAGATAAAGAACGAGGCGCTGAGCTTTACGAGAAATAGAGCAGATAATTGGCGAGGCGAAGCCGAGACAATTATCTGCTCTATTTCTTGTAAAGCTCAGCGCCGAGTGCTTTATCTGGCTTAAAGCAAGATTAATTAACCCTGTGCACTGGTGCGTGGAACGCATTCGTGAATGCTGTGACTTTACACAAAGTAAAGCATGGCCCAACCTATTGTCTTTTGACAGGAGAGTGCTTTAAGGTTTTTTAAACCATTCTTACCTTTAGACAGAGAATAATCTACTTAAAATTGAATAACTGCTGTCAAAATGTATGCAACAGTGCAGGAATAAGTTAAATGGAATTGTTCTCATTATTACATGAAAAATGGAACTTATGGATGTACAGGGAAAAGTGATATCTAGCATTCTACATGCATGTCCTTGAGGTCCATTGAGTGAGTGTCATTTTGGTGTCCAGATGTACATGAATTCACCAGAATGAAGTGATGTGAGTTATCAATGTACTCAGAAAAATTCAGCGAGACCGTTCTTTATGTTTTTAAATTATCTGGAATTTAGTATTATATTTGAGGTGGTGAGAAGCTGCCCCATTTTACCACTAGTTTATGAAACATCTATAAAATCAGGGTTTTCTGACTTCTCTCATACATTTTAACATTCCCTAAGATAGCTCAAATAAGAGCCAACAATCATATCTGAAGGAACGTAATGATCATAAATTTACTGTTCAAAAAGGAACAAAACAATATTTCCATGATACACATACTATATGTGGTTCTGGGTCTTTGGGGTAAGAGTGAACTGAACCGCATGTATGGGGTGACGGTCTCTATGGGGTTGAAAAGTGATGAGCATTATTTAATGAGCATGTTTTTTCCTTTCAGAAGAACCTAAGGAAGTGTATGAGATGATTCTGTCCATAGCAGAAAAACTTATTCCTTCCAAATTACAACTGGGCCTTCTCAAGTTTTCATTATCATTAAGATCTTATTCACCAGCTGTAGAAATGCATAATCAGGTGAGTAAACAGAAATGTCTTAACATTTATATGTTCAGGTATGGTAGTACGTGCACATATTGTCGTCCTGTAGATCCATCCAGGCCTAATTGAGGAAAGAACTTCTGAATTTTCTTTCAAACAAACATAATTTTAAAACATCTAACAACCATTATCAGTCAAACTTAAACTTATTAACTAACATCCAGTTATTTTTGTGATTTACTGGGTGTGGTATGCCCCCCCCCCCCCCCCTCCAGAACCTAAAGCGTTCTCCAATCCCCCAGAATGTAAAATGTTAGACTGCCACATTAAGGATTTCTTTGAACCTACATCACAGTTCTACCAATGAGTTTTAACAGGGTTGTTCAGCCAATTTATAACTTGTTTTCCATCAAACTTGGTTGTTGAATAACTGTTATAGCTTGATCTTTTCAAAGGGGGGAATTTCAGGTACTGTGTTTTACAGTTACTGTATTGCTTAAAATTTGAATCTTCCGATTCAGTGGTAGGAACAGAACTGAAAAGCAGTCCACCTTATAATTCTTTTGTACACAGAATGCTGTTTACCACAAATGCTGGTGATTCCAAAATTATGTATCTGAAGTCTTGATAATTTTTTCCCTATTGAAAAGGTCAAGTTATTACTAAATTGTATGTGCAGTAAATTGTTAACTTTAAAACTCAGCTTTGTAAAGTAATAAATGAAAAATATTATATCCATGCCATTTTGGTGGTAAAACTGCCTTAAAATGGAATCTCATTTGAAGAATTTTTATCCTGTTAAAGGGTTATGTTGGTTTTGTTCTTAGGATCCAGGTATAGGTATATACATATTTTATAAACTTTACTGCTGTATACTTTTTAATTGAATTTTCTGTGTTCAGGTGGCCAAGGATAATAACCCTCCCCGTGATTGTGATACATTTGTCGACGTCCAGGGCAAGGTCACGTGTGATAGCAAGGAAATGAAACGACTCATTAACAGTGCCACTCAAAGGTACTTGCAAATTGGTAGACAATAAGATGTTGTGAAGTTGTGGCATGAACCATTTTAAAACAAAATAGACAAGACACTATGTCTGAAAAGAGGGTAAGCCTTATAAGGTATTTTATTTCCTCATCCACCTGTTTAGCTTCACAATGTGTAAAATAATGCAGCATATTGACCCTTTTCATCTTTTCCATGTTGGAAATTGCATTGTGGGAAAGTGAGTCCTATGCTATGTGGAAACACTTACAGCAGTGCTGAAAAACATGCCTGGGTTTACGTGCTGTGTGTCCCGTGGCTACAATAACAGTAAGAGAGATCGACACATGCTTTTTATAAGTTCCCAACAAACTCGTTAAAATGAAAAATATGGGTAGACAACATCGGTAGAAAGAAAGGAAAATTTAGCAGGTTTGGATCAAGAGCAGGAGACCGCCTTTGTGCCGAACATTTCGAAGGTTGGAAGAAAACCTATAATATAAGAAGATCAATGGTGTTTAAATAAAAACCATTAAAGTTTAGTTAATCAACGGATCGAGCGAAGACTCAACAAATAGAACTCGGGGGGAAAACAATGCGTGAAAAAAAAACACCTAAATATTTGAAGAAAAAATTGAAGAATAAAAAGAAAGAAAAGACTTTAAACATGAAGTTACGGGAAAAGAAACTGAAATGGAAAACACTTTATTTGAATGATTTTATTTGATTGAAAACGATAAAAATATGCATAAAAACATTTTAATAAATCAAATAATAATATTGCTATAATTTTGTTTTGGTCTGACGGTTTTGTTTCAGTTTGACAGAATTTTCACGCTTGTCAGACCAAAAGTCTGACATTTTTTACCTGTCGTAAATTTTGTACATATACTAGTGTAAGACACAGTAAACAGTGTAATTATAATCTGGGAAGGAGTCAAAAATTCCTGTCTCACCTATTTAACACACAAAATTAGAAGGTTTTAATTACAGAGGAAAGACCATAGTTGTGGCCGCCCCTCTTACCAAACAATTGAACAATTAACACTTGATGCCTTATCAGGTACCAAATGAGTTAATTAGTTAACCGATGAACAATCTGCGTGTCAGTTTTACCTGTATACATAGTAGGTACAGTATGAGTCAAGCAACGCAGGGAATCTTTTCATTTTATTATTTGAAAAATCTCTTAAGACATCCTTCAAACAAGACACAAAAATCGTAATGAATTGATACTACTGGTACATGCACACATGATAGTAAATAAAGTGATATCGCCACAGTTGGCATATATATACATGTAACATTATGAAGACGTACTTACCTGTCCATACACTAGAAAGCTGTGTACGAGTCTACTGGCTATTTTGATTTAATAAAAAAGTATAACGCGTTTCTTTCGCATACCTTTATTGTTGGAAACATTTAAAAGAACTCTGAAGCTTAAGTTCGTCATCACTAAAGAAAGTGAAGCCAAGGCTCGGATGCTTAGGTTAAAGTCTACTTGTACAGTGCATCGTATTTAAACTGAGAATAAAAACATTTAATTGCTCAATTCTCCGTCCAAATAGCTGTTTTCTTGCCTACAGTTGATGCATTTCTGTGCTTCAGCCATCTTTTAAGTTTGACACAAAGCAGTGCACGCTTCAAACGGCCTTTTTGTATGCGCACCCTGTACATCATCTACACCTAGCAGTGCCTGGCTGGAAACAGAAGAGGACTACGATGACCCCTGTGGTGCGCGGTTCTTGTCACGTGCACTTCTTATTTCTGCAAAAGATGAAAAGGGTCAATACAGCTTCATTTTATGCCTGTAACAATGCAACTTCTTTGAATAGCACTGTAATGTGCCATACATTTCTACACCAGCTTGGGCAGACTTTTACTAAGTGGAGGGATGGATAAGTAGGTTAGTTTATAATCAGAAATTTGAAAAGGGTGCAGCTTCAAAGCTCTTTTATGGCCAGTTGAGTGATTAATATAGTATTTGTTGTGGCAAGTGTACTTTTTATCTGAGTGGCATACAAAACTAGTAGAAGTTGTTTTTATGCATTGTAGGGAATCTGCACCTTTTGTTTGCTGACCAGATCATGAAGAACATACATATTCACAAGGAAATATACAGTTCTAATTAAGAGGGCATATTTGTTTCACATATAAAGTACCAGGGTTGTAGGTATTTGTTTAACTTCGAATTTGAGATGGTGAAATTTTATATTTAAGCAATCTGTTATTACTCTCAATGTAGGGATTCAGCAATACACTAAACATCATAATCAGAAACCTACATACCGCTCTACCAAAGTGATAATATAATATAAAATCAACAATAAGCACAAGAAGTTGAAGTTTTCTTGTGGTGCTATGTGTAGTTGGATAGGAAGTGAAGATAAAAGTGGAGAGCTGAAGGCTGAAGGAGGGGGGCTGATTGACCTTTATAAAGGCTCACCTTACTCTTTTTCTACCGGAAGGCTCTTGCTTTGCCTACAGGATTAGAACTATAGATTGGCTATTTAGATTGAAGATCATACTGTTGCCCCCTTCCAAAGAATTTTTCTCAACCTACAGCACTTGAGTTTTTTTTTGAGGGTTTAATTTGTGAATCTTATTGCTATCATGTTTGTAGGTTAAGTGTTCACTTTGGAGTATTGAAACTAGTCCAAATGCAAGCTGATACAAGTCTTAAAATGATGTTGTTCATGTGACAAAAGTAGCTCTTATAATGCTGACTATTAAAAGATTCACCATGATGAGAAAATTGCAAAATCATAGTTACCAGACACCATTTATTCTGTCACTGGAATTTCTTTATTTACAATTTGTACATGTGCCATTTGATGTCTAGTCTTTTGACTTTCAGCTAAGGTCATAACCATGTCCTTTGTGGTATACACCTCACCTTACACCATCATTGATTGTATACAACACAAAGATCTTTCATCAATGCCTTTCCATCATTTCAGAGCTATGCCAGAACTCTATCCATTTGACCACCATTTCTTGACCACTAAGAAATCTGGACCAGTGGTTATACTGTATACGGAGCTTGGGACCAGCTCATTCAATTTGTTTCATGGGGAGTTGAAAAAACTTGCCAAGAGAGGGATGGTGGACTATGTCCTCAGGCATTTTGTCAAAGTGAGCATTTATTTTACATTTAGAAATAGAGCCCCACTCTGAAAGGACTTAACATAACAAAGGAATACATTTATAATGATGATCACAGAAAAAATATACAGCCAATTCTGGTTTCATAACTTATACCACAGCCCTTTCAAAGTCAGCAATGAATAATAAGTCAATGTTTTAGTTTTTTAATCCTGTGAAAAGTAAACACTTATATACTATTATTTTTCATAATTATTTCACAATACATGTATATGTGCTTATCTTGTTTGATTTTGAAGTTAAGTATCTTACAGTCATGGTCCTTTATATATTTCTTGGTATCACATACTTCTTAATGTAAAAGGGTGAAAGTAAATTATTGTACCACCAGTATGGGCACTGGCGGTACACATGGTTTTAGTCCCAACCCGTCTGGAGGTGGTGTCTGTTATTTTTTTCTTTTCCATACTGTTTACGAGTTGTGCTATGTCAAAAAGTACAATGTGGTGAAAATAAAATATGAAATACGGTAATATGCCATAAAAGAACACCAGGAAAAGATAACAGAAGGCTTTGCCAGGGACAGACAACCTACTCTCAAAAATGACAGAATTTCATGAAATTTGAACATTTGGAATTTCTGAGCACCTCCCATTTCATGAATTTGGCCAAAACAATATTTTAGTTATTTCAATTAATTTCTTCTGTAAGGATTTTATGGCAAATTGCTGTAACCCCAAAATATATCTCCAAAACTGGTAGAGATATGCCCATAATTACTATTGAACTTAAATAGGAAATCATATACTGGCAGCCTTACTGTGACCTTGAAATTGACCTCTGACCTTTCATCATGAAATAAACTTTGTAACATTTTAGTCCCTTACATCTCTAAAACAGAGATAAGGCTTATGGTTACTATTGAAATTGAATAGGAAGCTGTATCTTGCAATCTAACAGTGACCTTGAAATTGATCCTTGACCTTCTTTTCACCATGAACTGAACTTTGCCAATTTTTTTGTCCCTTATATCTTCAAAACTGGCCCATAGTTACTATTGAACTTGAACAGGAACTTGTATATTGAGTCTTCCTGTGACCTTGAATTTGACCGTCGACCTACTTATCACCATTAATCGCACTTCACAAATTTGGATTTTACCTTTTACTTCTTCCCATGATTTAGTTATAAATAGTGATTTTCAACAAAAAACTGTTTACTGCATTTTATAGAGCTTGTCAAGCACAACACTGGAGTTGGTGCCACCTTTTTTTTTTTTTCCATACAGATGTGCTTACTCCAGCTGGTGGTACAATACCCAGAGGTGGTATAGCCTCTCTGATCCTCTGGTTTTAATATTATAATTGTGCATTGGTTGTCAACTTGAGAATTTTATGCAGCAAATTATGTTTTGGACACATTTTTCAAATGCAGATTCCTATGAAGTTCATTTTCATCAGTTATTTTGAATCCATGTATAATTTTGTGAGCATATCTGAAAACTACAATCAAATAGTTATTTACTTCTCATTTAGGATATTAGTGTGTAATTTTAGGAACCATCTGAAGAGAAGGTGAGACTGGCTGGGTATGGTGTGGAGTTGGCAATAAAGAGCACAGAATACAAAGCAAAGGACGATACAAAAATGCAAGGTTAGGAGTCAAACAAACATGCATGTGACACCTTATATTTCTGTCAAGTCGCCATCAGGGAGGGAGGTTGCAGATGTTGACAATGTCTGCACTAAGGGAGGAGGGGGACTGCTCAGCTTGGGTACAGATTAAAGCAACAATTTATATCCTCGTTCATTGACAAACAGGACATGAATGAATTGAAGATATTGGAGAAGAATTACTTTAATGACAAAATTTCTACATTGTAACTTCAGCTAGCTCCTCCTAGATCATTAGGGTGAGGAAGTTCAAACTTTTGGTATTGATAGACCTACCAGTATCATCAAGAAGATGCCCCAGTGTATGTGTGGGAACTGCATTAAGCATATTTTCATGGATACTTTTTTATGTACAGACACAGATGTGTCTATACATATAGCCATCACCTGCGTCTGTTATAACCATGCACTCTCACCGATAAGTGGAAAACTATTTTACCTTTTTGCTTGAAACTTACAGAACTGATAAATATTCATAATACACAGGTCAATTCTGAAAATCGGCATTTTCTCAAAAGTTATGCTGTTTTTATGTAGAGACACAGATGTGTCTGTATATATAGCCATCACCTGTGTCTATCGTCACCTTCATCGTCGCTGTGCACTTTCACCGATAAAACGATAAGTGGAAAACCGTTTTACCGTTTGGCTTGAAACTTACAGAACTGATGAATATTCATAATGGGCAGGTCTAGGTCGAAAATCAGCATGATCAGGCCATTTTCTTAAAAAGCTTTTCTAGAAGGATCAAACCAAAATGTAGACTTGTAACAAGCAGATATAATGTATGGATAGGCAGGGAAAATGCAGTAAAACTTAATAATCAATAGGAACTGACCGATTGTGCACATTTCTACCTTTTTGGTGAAACGTGTAGACTCGTATAGGCCTACGGTACACAATGGTGGTGTCACAGCACCTATTGTATAGACAGTGGATAACATCGCCAATACTTTAATTCAGCCAGGCCGAATGCAAAGGATAAAGACAGACCTTGTAAGCTGCCAAGTGGCTAGAGATCTCACAGCCAATTATCAAGCACCAGAGAAGAGGGGAATTCGTTCAGTCTACAAAATGAGATACAGAATGAATTAGAAGAGATAAAAAATGAATTGAAACACTGTTAAAACTGACCATCTCAGGCAGATAGTCCAGCAATCACTGCTTGACGTTATGAACGAAATAAAAAAAGAGTTCAATGAGCGTGTTATGGAAAAAGAGGAAAGGCATACCAGCATGATAACCGAGATGAGAGACAGAATGGACGATGTAAATATGGACAATCCAGAGCTGGGGAAAAACTGGCTGAGAGGGAAAGGGAGCCAAGGGAACTTGGGAAGAGAGTAAAAGACAATAAACAAATGGCCGTGGAAGCAAGCTGTTGTTCAAATAGGAATGAATAATACTCCAGAAAACAATGTTAAAGTTTATGGAGTGAGTAAATCTCATGAAAAAGTGAAAGAAAAAGTGATAAAAACACTGAGAGAGGCCGCAAATGTCGAACTGCAGGAGAGCGAAATCAATGCCACATATAGAATCCCAGGAAAAGCGGGCAGACCAAGACCAATAATTATTAAAGCGAGAAATGCCAAAGTGAAAACAAAAATTATGAAAAAAAGAAAAGCAATCAAACTGGCCGTCAGAGGGGTACATGTGGCTGACAACATTACGTACTTGAATATAAAACCTATACAGAGTCTCAGCCAACATTAACATATAGATAGTGCATGGTATTTTAATTGCGACATCTACGGACAGGTCAGTCAAACTAAAATAAAGTTTGACATTAACGATGACATTGGGGAGAAAATAAAAAAAGACACTGACTGAATTATAGGCCTGAATATAAAGTAAAAGATTAGTTTCTCTCTTTTGTCCTGATATCAATGTAGGAAAAATAAAAGTTGTAGCATCGTATATATTGCAGGGCATTGTTTATTACTAGTAAAGCGTAAAATAACCTACGGCACTTGTGTGACAAACTGGTTTTCAACAATCACATATTAGATACCGATTATGTGATAGATACAATACGAGTCGCCGAGCTGTACGTGAAATATTACGAGTGTATTGGCGAGCCGCAGTTGTATCTGGCTTAAACCATGGCCTCTGATTGGCTTCCACACTACTAATGCAACAGACTGTGGAACGCACTCGTACATGACGTGCTTGTATGTCGCATACAGCACAGCCGAGTCTTTTGTTCTACGCGCTAGCCGTGGTTTAAGTTATAGCACAAGTAGTGGGCTCTTACAGTCAGTGCCCAGGTGAATGCAAATAAAGGGACATCTCACAACAGGTATGATCACATCTCCATTCTATACTAGATGTACATAGTGGAGAAAACAGCAACCGTTCGCCTTATCTCAACAAAAAGCATTCATTGTGACCTTTATGCTATATTGTGCTATATTTCTATGTGTGAATGTATGTGGGTGAGTATGTATGTGCATGAAAGCGCAAAAAAGACATTATTTGTAGAAAGCAAGAAACACACAAATATATATATATATATATATATATATATATATATATATATATATATATATATATATATATATATATATACTAGTAATATACAGACTATTCAAGCTGTCGTTATCCACTTCATGTATGTTGACAGCACCTCTTCTCTTTTAAAGTAGTTGTTGATACTTGTCTTTAAAAGTAACTGTGAGCTATATAAAGACCATTAGTTTAAATTGCAAGTTTTTATCATCAGACTCCATGTAGAGGAGGGACATATTTATTGTACCACCAGCATAGGCTCTGGCAGTACACATAGTTTTAGTCCCAACCTGTCTGTTCCGCTGCCACATCATCATATTGCCAGTGTTCCCGAAAAACTTTGGGCACCAGTCTGACATTTTCTGATCATGTCAGACATTTGAAAAGCATATCAATTTTCATGTTTTAATTATAAAGACAAGTCCAATAACAACAGCAGCACACTGAGAAATAGTGGCCTTATTTTTCAGCATGTTACAGTCTGTGACTTAAACTTTTCAGCTTTCTGGCCATTCGAATCACCAATTTCTTAAAATCTACTGGTCTGACTAAAAATTTACTGGTCAAAAAAAAAAAAAAAAAAAAAAAACAGCCAACTGGACATTTATCTCTATTACATCAATACTAGTTATAGCAAGACCTTGATTTAATTGTCAAATCTTTCTGGATTTAGAATTACATTGTACATATAAAATTTTGGAATTCAAAAAAATATCAATCAAATTGAAAATATCTTCTGAAAACAATAATATTTTGGTAGAATAAATGTACTGCCTGAAAAATCTTCTAAAAGTAAATAATTGTACTGGATATTTATGTAATACATACATTAAACTCTTCCATGTGTACACGCAAAATACTGGTAGTAAGAAAATGCAAAATGCTTATCTACAATTGTTTATGTTTTTAAAATCCTTATTTATTTTAAAAAATGCAAGAGAAAGCCATGTAATGGTGCTCAGATGTTGCTTTAATTATATCATATTTATTATTAATAATAACTAACCTTAAATTTTAATCACTATGTAAATATTTGAAATTTATTTTAAATTAAACTTTTATCACATAAATTACCAATTGAAAATATCAAATATGATAAATACACATGAACATAATGATCCAATATGCATGTTGGATTGAAAAAAAAAAGCTATTTATATCATCTCACATTTATTTTTAAAATCCACTATTCGCTTTAAAAAAAAAAAGTTTACACCGTTTTAATCACTGTACTTTATGGCAGCTGAGCAGGAATCAAAACGATATCTGCCTTGGTCAGCTACAGGTAGGAAGACAGGGATCTTCACCACTGTATCTGCACTGTCGACATGTGTTCACCCCTCAACTCTGTGGCTTGTATTAACTGGCCTGGACCGGTTCAGCAGTGGTAGGCCAAAAGTGTAGTAGTGGGGAATACACATCGGTGTCATTTTTTTTTTTTTTTTACTATACGTTTGAGTTATTTGGGAGAATCCGATTAAGAGTCCAAGCATGGATATTCAATTTGGGATCAAAACAATAAAGTAAGTGATAGATACAATACGAGTCGCCGAGCTGTACGTGAAATATTACGAGTGTATTGGCGAGCCGCAGGCGAGACAATACACGAGTAATTTTCACGTACAGCTCGGCGACGAGTGTTGTATCTGGCTTAAACCACGGCCTCTGATTGGCTACTACACTAGTAGTGCAAGAGACCGTGGAACGCACTCGTACATGACGTGCTTGTATGTTGAATACAGCACGGCCGAGTCTTTTGTTCTACGCGCTAGCCGTGGTGTAAGTTCCAGTAGACTATGCATTTGCTTTAAGTTAATAAAAAGTTGTACAAACAATGCATGAAACCCCAGAATTTCGCAGGTAGGCTAAAAAATGCTCATTAGGGCAAAAGTTATTTTAAAAGTATGAATTCATGACCTACTTTTTTGTGCTGGAGCTTCAGTTCATGCAGTGGCAAAAAGCACTGACAAGTGGGCCAGGACTTAGTATTTTAAATGCTCTGCTTTTTGATAATACAGACATTGTGACTGATATGTTGACGTTACAAGTCGGACATTTTCTATTTGTGCCAGATTTGTCCGGCTGTCCGATGGTTTTTCTGGAACACTGTACTGCTTCTCCTCCTAGACTACGGGCCTTGGATTTAGGTCACTTTTAATCTCAACTCGATCCGCGTAAAATTTGGGCTTCATCAGTGCTGGGGTCTAGGTGTGGTACTCATTACAGTGCACCCTTGTCCAAAGTTTGCAAAATTAAATGCTCAATATCTCCTAAACCAAAGGAATTATAGGAAAATTTTCTACAGATGGCTGACCAAAAGTTATATGTGGAGATTTCAAATATGCCCTTCGATTTGACCTTTATTTCAAGGTGAAACGAGCCAAAATTTTCTAAAAATGGGAATTTTTTACAAAAAAAAAAAAAATTTTTTTGTGCCGATATTCAGAAACAACACAGACCTCACCTATAATATTATTGGCAGGTGTTACCATTAGGGTCCTCTTTCATCTCCTTGAGTTTGGGGTCAATCGGTGCATGTTCACGGAAGCAGCTGCCATTGGATGCCGAAACTGAAAACTCTCTCTAATTCTGGAACTGTTAATGCTAGAGACCTCTTTTTTGCATTAGATAGAGCATGTCAGGCTCAACACTGGAAGTGGCATGGTTTTTTTTTCCCCCATACGATTTACAAGTCAAACTTACTAAATAGATTCTTAGGCTAGAAGCACAGCTTGTGTTGGAAAATCAGCGTGATTGCTTTCTGTTTCACAAAGTTTGAACAGCAGCTTTATTGGAATTTTTTTTTCTTTTTTAATTTATTATTATTATTCAAACACTGGCATTTTCAAGATGTGATTTTAACTCCTATCCACCTGAAGCTCTGTACCTTTTCTGCATTTCTACATAAGTAATAGTATTGGTGTTTGTCTTCAAATATTATGTAGAAGTATTTAATGCCCTGTCATCATTTTTCACATATTGGGATTTTCATTATGTGAATTTGAACTCTCATGGTCCTGAAACTGTTATCTTATTGACCATATTTACCTGTTGTGCATGATTTAAATTCAGTGTTGATTGGCTGTGCTGTTATTCCATAATTATTTATTATTGCATCAACATTGACAAAATTACATATTTTCTGCGTGTGTATTTTCTGCTTTTTGTCTGTACATTTGACAGCTTTGTTGCCTTGTATTCTGTTGTCATCAAGTTTATTTGCAATAATTTTACATATAAAACCCAGGCACTATCATAGATGTCATGGGTTCATGAGGGTGAGCTACTCTTAAGAATATGAGGAAGTGAGAAGATTTGCGGTGGCTACCCATTGACAAGATCTAGTTTTAGATGTAGATCAAATGAACTGTTAAAGAAACTGAGTGATTGATACTACTAATATTTCTACTGAGTATATTCATTGCTTTGATTTTTGTTTCTCATTATCAAGTAAATATGATTTTCTATAGTAAACAGTAATATCACATGTAAAGAGAATGTAATTGAGCAGTAAGGACCTTAGAATGTGTGCATGTAAATAGAATTTAAAATGACATTAAATGATGTTTTGTGAATAGGTGAATTAGTAAAATTTGCAACATTTTGTCATTATTTGTTCCTCTGCGAACACAAAGAAATTGCATTCTATCTGTTTCATGCATACATATATGTTTTAGTTGTTTTGAATCTCTGTAAAAAGTTTTATCTGCTTACTAGCAGATGACTTGAAGCTTTAAGCAAACTTATGGTTAAGTCCTCTTCTGATGTGTTTGTTTGTAATTACAGCTGGTGAAGATGAGGAAGATGACTTGGAAGATGATGAAGGAAAGGATGTTCAGGGCATTGTGTTCTCATCACTACGGTAAAAGTGACAGTCACATAGTGCTTTTTTTTTCTGAAAACTATAGATTTTCTTAAATGTGAAACTCAGGGATATAAAACGGGATACAAAGCATTTTTAGTTGGAAATTATTCACAAAAACAGCACTTTCACAGCATCAAACACGGCAAATAAACAAGATCTATTTCAAATTTAACCTCTAACAAGTGCCCAGTGCGTAAAAATAAAGAACTAGAAATTGCATTTACATCCCGCGATTGTAACATACCCGCGTGTCACGTGACTTAGATACTAGCATATGAATGAATGGACAGGAAGAAGTGTGGAAAAATTGCTCAGTTATTTGGCAGAGTGAGCAGGCGTACCACATGACTGCCCTGATTTAACAAGTCGGTGCAGTGGACGATGCAAAGAAAAAAACATTTTAGCACATAAAAGGGATAAAAAGCAGAAGGAAGTACAACACAAAAGTTGCACAAATAAAAGTAGGATTATAATAGAGAGGGTAATACCATGTCAGCAGAGATAAATAAGAAGTTTATTTGGAAACCTTGCACTGTGGCAGCGTCAAATGATGCAATTGCCACACTGGTTGGGAAGCCCTGATAGTATTAGTAGTTTTCAAAGACAGCAGAGTGTAAAACTGAATGCAAATAGGGGACAAAAAAGGAAGTTAAAATTTTGTTTAAATGAATAATAAATACATCTAATGCTGATGATTATATAAGATAATTTTAGACAGCACTCTTATGTCATCTGAACAATTATGATAGCACCTTCCTTCGGTTTGTATGCCCCTTTAAAATTCTCAATATATTAATGTGTAAAGGTAAACAGTAATGATTGCCAGTTTGTAGGATGTGCCGTAGGGCCTGAATCCATAGATGCTTTAGTTGGTAGTGTAGGCCACTGTGCTTGGTGAGGGTGGGATGTTCATTTGGCTCATCATTCCTCTTTCATTCTTCATCAAAACCCTGCAGTCCCGTTTGTGGAGGATCATAATGTTTTTTTTTGGGTGAAAAATATGGGAGGAGTTGTGTAGCTGGGTGAGTCATCTGGCACAGTAGTATGTGTCTTCCTGCACAGACTCATCATATGGCAAAGATGTCAACTCAAAATTAGTTCACCTGAAGACCTGAATTGTGATAATGTCAAATCTCTGTTCTGCATTTCATCCAGTATTAGAATCAATTTTTATTATCTTAGTATAATATAACTGAGTAAATCAAAACTGTTGAGCTTATTATTTTTCATTATAAAAAGAATACTGTGCAAAAGAGGCTACTGTTGAAAAATGTTGTTGGGGTATTATAGATCATTTCAGTATAATATTTTGTTATTTTTTGTATTCAGAATGAAGCATCCTGATTTGAAGGAGAAATTGAAAGAATTCAAGAAACATCTTATGATGAGTAGCAATGAGCTATCCCCTCTGAAAGTTTGGCAGTTACAGGGTATGTACAAAAGTTTTTCATATAGGTGTCATTATTAGATTGGTGGATGAATTTTCAAAGTGAGTTTTGTAATCTTTTTGGCTAGAGGGTGGGGCAATGCAATCAGACAGTGGGTTTAGAAATATGGAGTTATAAAAAAAGTAATACTACATTATACAGCTTGCAATTAACTCCTTATAGTGTGTAATCATTATATATATATATATAATGATAGTAATATTATGTGCCAGCATATGCTGGCAAAAATATACACATATATTAGGATATGACAGTAGGCTACAATACCTAGCACTAAAATATAATTATATAAAATATAATTTAGATGAGTAGTTAAACTACACGAAACTTTCCATTTATGATTAATAAGTGATCAGAATAATGATTTTAGTAATAATAGAAACTGGGTGCAGTTCAGTTGAGATATATCTCTTAATTAACATATATTAAATAAAAACAGTTCCAAATGGTTTGTCAAATAACTTTTCTTTTTCCTGAGAAATCCCTCTAAAATTATTTAACTGGTTTTTTAAGCATTATGATAAACTGGTTTGGTAGCCTTAGATCATTTTCTATGGTTTTTAGGTGTATTGAATAGGTTCATTATCCAGTCAGGGTGACAAACACACATGCATGTCATGCAAAACATGCAAAACACTGTTTTTTTTTTTCTAAGGGTATTTCTTCAGAACGTATATTATGTTCACACATGGTGACTTTGTATCTTAATCCCATCCTGCCAGTCATTCTGATGCTCAAGATCATTTCCCCATATAAGAAAGTTGGCCCACGACACAGTGGTGCTGTTGTCCGACAGGGCTGCACTGAACCAAATAACACTCTTTTGCAGGAAAAAAGGGTTGATTGACAAATGTCAACATGTAATTTCCATTTANTTCTCAACAAAGTGCACTTAAACTAGGCACAACCAGTTAAGATGCTTATCTCAGATATTCACACCTGTCCAGCATAAGGTGTCCAAATTTCAAAACAATTGAAACAAATTCAGGCACAGAAATTTACATTCAACTTTTTATCACTCATGAAATTATGCTTTCTCACCAGGTGCAATGTTGGCTAAAGTGGCCCATACAGCAACCACATTTTCAACTTGACGGGGCTCAGTCATCAAGAGACCGTTCTCAGTCATATTGGGCGGAGCAGTTGGCAGTGTATTAAGGTTTTAATTTTTGGTGTCAGAAGGTAAGAACAGGGGGGGTGGTCTTAGTATGGTCGTCAATGGGAAATTATTTGGTGGTTTCTGCCCTGAAATAGATATTCACTCATGTATGTCTGATAGATATATGGAACGTAGGAGTACATTTCCAGACTCAGATATCATTGTAATTTTTCTAAAAACTACTTTTTTATAAATGGTGTATATTATTGTAATTGTACTAAAATCTACTCTTTCATAAATGGTATATATCATTGTAAATTTTTTAAAAACTATATACTCTTTCATTAATGATATATATCATTGTAAATTATTTAAAAAATACTCTTTCATGGATGGTAATCCAGTTTAAGTCTTTAAGGATTAAGATCGGGTGGCAGGAACATGACTTTCTTCTTAACCAACCAAGATTTACAATAAAAAGCTAATTTCAACAGCTATATTCATTTTACATCATTATTTCATTATGTAATTGTTACGTATAACACTAAGTAGGTTTTCTCAAAGAAAGATTTAGACAAGTGTCAAAACTAATTAGAACCTACAACCAATGAAAGATTGCATTTATATGCAAGATCTAAGATTTGTCTCACACAATGAGCCTGGGACTTAANTTTTTCAACTTTCACCCATGTAACCAAAATGTTCATACAAGTTTTCCCCAAAGCTTGGTCTTTTTTTTTTTTTTTTTACAGACCTGAGTTTTCAGACAGCTGAGAAAGTGCTGAGCTCAGCAGATGAAGATATGTTGGAAACATTACAAGATCTCAGTCAAAATTTTCCATCTCGAGCCATGTAAGGGTCTCTCTCTCTCTCTCTCTCCCTCATTAACTCTTACTTTTCTAATTGGCATTATTGCTATACATTCTGGACAGGGTTGGAACTATCTGAAAGAATATCATTGAACATTTGCATGCCTTGCCTATCAGTATATTTATAGATGTGTTAAGAGGGGCATTTGCTGTATAGCAGTAAAGGTCACAGCAAAGACTGCACACTTCTGTCAGTGAGAACATGACTTAATATGTTGCCTGTCTCAAGGAGGATGATTTTGATTGTTTGTCTGTTAGCAATAATATAATGCAAAATGTTATAGATGGATTTTGATGAAATTTTCAAGATAAGCCAGGAAACGGACTAATCATTTTATGTTAACTTATTGATTAATTTAATTGTTTGAATCAATGATAATCATGAGGAGTGAGTTGTCTTGGCATACTCTCTGAGATTAATTTTCTAGGTCTCTGGCTAAAGTCAGTGTCAAAGATGACATGCGTAAGGAGGTAAAGCAAAACCAAAAGGTGGGTCCATTATCTGCAAAATGGTGTCATATTATAGATATTCACTCATGTATGTCTGATAGATAAATGGAACGTAGGAGTACATTTCCAGACTTACATATCATTGTAATTTTTCTAAAAACTACTTTTTTATTAAATGGTGTATATTATTGTAATTTTACTAAAATCTACTCTTTCATAAATGGTATATATCATTGTAAATTTTTTAAATACTATTCTTTCATTAATGACATATATCATTGTAAATTATTTAAAAAATACTCTTTCATCGATGGTAATCCAGTTTAAGTCTTTAAGGATTAAGATCGGGTGGCAGGAACATGGCTTTCTTCTTAACCAACCAAGATTTACAATAAAAAGCTAATTTCAACAGCTATATTCATTTTACATCATTATTTCATTATGTAATTGTTACGTATAACACTAAGTAGGTTTTCTCAAAGAAAGATTTAGACAAGTGTCAAAACTAATTAGAACCTACAACCAATGAAAGATTGCATTTATATGCAAGATCTAAGATTTGTCTTACACAATGTGCCTGGGACTTAATTATACCAGCTCTGTTTTTTACGGGTGTATCAGCCATGGAAGGGGAATCATTGAAGTGGTCATTTTATAAATTGGGATATGTTTGGTAATTAAACATGTATCAAGAATATGAGACACATTTCTGTTAAAGCTAAAGGGGCTAAAAAAGTATGCTGTGTAAATGTAATTGTAGCGCACTCAAGTTTTTAAGGTATATCTCCTTATGTTACCATTATGTAATTAAATAATAATATGAAATATGCCATATGATTAGTGCTGCATTCTTAGCCAGTCCATTCTTAATTAATTGCAGTATTTTGAGCAGTATTTGAACATTCTCCCTGGGGAATCAGCTCTATTCTTCAATGGCCTACAATATGACCTTGATATCAGTGATGTGTTCACTTTGCTGGATACATTACGAGCTGATGCCAAGATTATGGAAGGCTTATACAGTATGGGTATTAAGGTAAGTAGTTTGTGCTTCGATTCTATACCAAAAAGAAAAATGGAACATGGTAGTCAAGCCTGTCTTAAAAAGTTGCCAAAGTAGGTAGATAATGGTTAAGTTGATTTGAATTAAGAATGATATGTGCTAAATATTTGAATCTGAGATTAACTTTTGGCAAAAAGCTGTGGTTTTATTAAATTTCAGTTTCTTGTAAATATAAAATAACTCCGTGGCCAAAGTTACTTGGCACTACCTATCTCTCTACACTAGTGCTGACCAGGATTTGCCTTACTGACAGCTGGGAGACCAGCTTCAGTTGACATCATGCATGTGTTGATCATAATCAGGAAGCCTGCTGAGAGGAGGTGCAGCAAAATAGGTCAAAACAGTTTTTCTTTAGGTGTTCAAATAGTGTTTTGCTTGCTATCCTATATCCTGTAATACTTATATGCTGTTTGATGTATTAGGGTGAAAGCCTAAGTAGCCTCCTTAAGCTTGACTTGAAAGAAACAGGTACCAGTTATGCTGTAGATATCCGGAATGGGCCCATACAGGTAAGCCAGAGAAAGTTTTTACCCAGAAAGTTGAAGGGGCAAAAAATCAAACAATCAATTTATGGATAAATAAACATCAGTAGTTGGTAGACAGATGAAAGGAATGATATATGGACAGTCAGGGAAGGGGTGAAGAGATGACAGGCCTTATTAATGGATTAGGAGTTTACTAACACTACCTGCAGATCTTTCAGCACTAACACCTATATTAACCACATAAACTGCAAATTAACCACCACTACCAGAGCGGATGAATATTAGTGCTTGGAATCGCGTTGGTGTGCTGGTTGATTCACTGGTTATTTGGTTAATATGGTGTTAGTGCTAAAAGAACTTTGGGTAGTGTTAGTAAACACGTAATCCATTTTTAAGGCCTGGATGGAGAAGCTAATAATATCTGGGCAGACAGGGAACAAAGGGTATGAATAATTCCAGATGGGTTACTCTCTAACTAGAATGATTGGATTTGTTATAAGGTCGACATAAGGTTGTGCATATAGAGATAGAGCTTTATGTTGGGTGACTCCTGTTTTGACCTAAAATATAATTTTGTAAAAGAACAAAGTCATTAAAATGAATAGATTATTTATTCACCTAGATAGACTCAGATAATACCTGTATTTCAGTATATCAATGATCTTGAGAAGGACAGAAGATACCAGCAATGGCCCAGCAGTGTTCAGGACATGCTCAGACCCACCTTCCCTGGGATGCTAAGACATGTCGCCAAAAACTTTTTTACAATGGTCAGTGTTTTCTTAAATACCAATTCTTTAGTAATGTTTTCTTCAAATTTTGATATAATCTCTTCAGTACAATTTTTATGGTTTTAACAACTAGAAAAGCATTAATATGAAACATTATTTCATATGTTGTACAGAAAATAAATAGGAATGGTGACCTAAGTAATCTTCATTTCAGTTTATCTTAATGCCTAAAACTACTTTTACTTGTTTAATATATACAAACTATTCGTATTCAGATTATGTGTCTGTGTCATCTCCGTAGCTGTTATCTTTGCTTATGCTGTCTGACATTTGTTCAAACCACATTTGCCAGACCATATTTCCAGCCCCCATTCTTCCCAGGAAAGAATATAGCTGCTTTTCATTTATCTATTTGAGGCATTTATACATTTCTTGAATATTTTACTGATAATAAGAAAGAAGACAAAAAGCATAATAAAAACAAAGGTATTGGCTAATTATTACATGATTCAGGAAGCTCACTTACCAGCATAAACAGCCATGAGAGGTTACCTGAAAGGGATAGCAACTGTTTGTATGAGATCATTTCACAATGAATACATTGTAAACAAGTCGGAGAATATATAATAAATTCCATTTTACCACCAAAACACTGATTATCACAATTTTTCTGGAATCTGTTCTTGCCATAAGACCACTTGGACTATCTTCGAATGTCCCAATAGATTCATTAACCTTTGGTAAGAATGTATCTTCTTTATTATCAGTGTCTTCTTTTTTGGCCAAAAACATACAGTTGCTATTGCTTAAAATCATAAAATTGAAAAGATGCAAGTTTTGTAAATTTGCCATTGCATATCATTTTTAAGTAAACAAATAGCACCATTTTATTAGTTTTACATCATTTGATCTAAGTGAGTTTTTGAATAACAGGTCAAGTAAATAATAATAATGAAACTGAAAAAAAAGAAAATAATTTTCCAAGGGGTAGTGGGGAAACAATTTAAAATGACAATAAGTTCATCAAAAGGACACCTGTATGAGTGAGATTATCTGTTTACCCCACCCTGTGATGCACCTTAATTATTGGGGGAGAGAGGGGTACCAGGGGGAGAGAGGGGTACAAGGGGGAAAGAGTGGGTACCAGGGGGAGAGAGGGGTACCGGGGGGAGAGAGGGGCACCAGGGGGAGAGAGGGGTACCTGGGGGAGGGAGGGGTACCAGAGGGAGGGAGGGGTACCAGGGGGAGGCAGGGGTACCAGGGTGAGAGAGGGGTACCAGGGGAGGGAGGGGTACCAGGGGGAGAGAGGGGTACCTGGGGGAGGGAGGGGTACCTGGGGGAGGGAGGGGTAAAACAATAACAAGAGTCAGTTCATGAAAGGGATACCTGGATAAGTAAGATTATCTGTTTACCCACCTCTGCCTGGAGATACATTTTGATTAAAGGCAGGCGCTTTAATTTTTCTCAGTTTCACATTGTTCATTCCTATAGTAGTATTCATTACAGGGGTGCATTGTCCTGATACTCTTTAGATTGGTGTTCATTTTCTGTTTATCATTATGTAATAACACATAGAATTAACAAAAAGCTTATTTTGTGCAGTGCTGCCATAAACAATATTAAATGAAAATTGTGTTACTTATTATTCTTCAACTTACATGAATGATTCTAGGGACTGAAAGATGTATCAAATTGTGGCACAAATATTGGTGATGATTATGCTTAAAATGCACTTAAAACTATAATAAACACTTGCATCAATTATTTCCGCTCTGCTTGGTGTTTGTACATTTGGCACCTTTGCTGCCTTGTTTTATGAAAATTATTGGACTACTTATTTCATTGGACCTATTAGGCTTTGGAATATTTTTGACTTGAAAATGTCCCAAATTTTGTTTTAGATAACTGGCAGTATCTTTTTTCCATCTTTCTTACCTTTTTTTGTGACTTATTTAGATATTGTTGTTGAATCATAATTTATTAATTGCAATGTGAAATGAAGTGTGCATGGTATATAGAATGAGAACTTGTGTAAAAAAAGGCATGGTTTGAGGGGCAGATAATCCACTGTTCATAAACTTTTTCCATGTTTAGTGCAATGTGCCAGTTTATTTAAATGGAACAATAGTAACGAATATGTTTATAAAGTGAATGCATATTTGATAGCTTTTACCTACTAGTATTGCATGTATTAATGACAAAAACATTTATTAACTTCTGATATGTCCTCACAAGGTATTTATGGTGGATCCTTCCCAGCCAGATGCCAGAGATTTGCTGAAGATGGCAGAATCATTCTATGTGCACAATGCCCCAATCAGGTAAAACATTCAATGTCACATTGTACTCTTTTAGTCATCTGGGCCCGGTTGCACCAACAGGGCGTAAATTTACTTGGCTACGACTGTCGTAAACCGCAATGCCTGGCGTCCGTGCGCCAGGTTTACTCTCCCTGCTTACGCCCGTTGCACCAAGACAAAAACTGATCGTCGCAACTACGCCCAAGTAACGCTCCGTTGCATCACTGGCCAACAATACGTGGATGGTATAATTGGGCAAATGAGGAGTTCTCAGCTGCAGTCACAATGGAATGATGACATAAATAAACACAAAAGGAGTATTTCAGTGACGGAGAAATTATTCCATTTTGATTTAGAAATAAGAACGTTAAAATACGTTAACTTTGCTGTTTGCCATGGATATATAGCAATAAAATCGTAAATATATTCTGAATCAAAATATTATTATAGTGTGCTATGTATGCTATTATAGTATGCTGTTGTAAATGAGAAAAACGCGTTGGAGGCAGTACATATTTCTATTAATGGATTTGAACACCTTCACATTTGTAATTGAAACTATTGAGTCTGAAAATAATGCAAAAAAGCCAGCATTGCTTTCTTTTTAAAATTTTACAACAGTGCCGACGATTTCATGACGCTGAGGGTTGCCAATTCTTGAAGAAGGCATCGACCTTCGATTTTTTTCATGGTTAGTTATGGTTTGTCAAAAATTGTGAAAAGAATTAAAGAAACCGTACTGCTGAGAGCCAAGGCGTGTAGACATGAGTGGTAAGATTTAATTTGAACACATGCATATACATGTACATGGCTACACACATAATGCATTTAATAATCATTTATATATATATATATATATATCATTAGTTTTTTAAAAACCAAGCTATGCAGACGGAAGTTTTGTGTAAGAAACAAACAAATAACAACCCACATATGTACATTAACTACGATAATTGTCACCAAACTTTCCCTGTGCCAGCCTAGCCATAGTGCAAAACGACTTACTCCACCTAGCTAGCAGGCGTAAATTTACGACAAAGTTAAGACCGACGTAAACACTATTCCAGTTTGGTGCAACTGGCTTTTCTCGGGCGTAGCATTTTGCGCCCGGTTTACGCCGGCGCAACTGCTACGCCTCACTTACGACCGGTTGGTGCAACCGGGCCCTGACCTCTACTTTGATCCCTACTGTACTATTACTTTCACACATCTGTGCGCTCAGTGCTTTCAATAGATGTGCTGTTAGCCAATCAAATCAAACTTTGTGGCTGAGATGTCTTATAGTTTAGTGGTCATTTAGCAAGCCCTTTAAAGCACACGGAAATTGTGAGCAACTTTTAGCTCAACACCTAGGCCTTGGTGGGTATGTTTGGGGCAAAGAAAGCAAGGGAGTGTAGTTACTTTTTACACTTATCATTTTGTACTGTGTGTTTGAAGTACCAAGTTGAACCTTCTCAACATTAATATTTTTTGGCTTAGGAGTTCAACCCTTTTGTAATTATTAGAAAATGGCTTACTAATACTGAAGGTTGGTGGTTTGTTTTAAATAGCTTCTGTCACACACACACACACACACACACATGCACACGCACAGGCACACAATCCAGTGACATCTGTTAACATGCTGTTCTGTTTCCAGACTAGGCTTACTGTTTGTAGTGAACAATGAGAAGGAAGTGGATGGAGAACAGGATGCAGGTGTCGCCCTCTACAGGGCTTTCAACTTTGTGAAAACAGCCAACACTGTGTCTGCTGCTCTTTCTTTTCTTACTGATGTAAGTGACTGATACTTATAAAACTGCTAGTTCCAGGAACTAAGCTTTTTCATACCTTGATTGAATTCTTTTCAAGTGCTCTGGTAGCTGTACAACTGATGAAGATAAGGGGCAATCTAAGGGATAGTCACTGCAACATATAGCATGTTACTGGGGTAAAACTTACGTTTACATTTGTGTCACTAGATACTTGATCAATCAGATCTTGATACTGACAGAGATGTGTTGATTTTTATGCATATTGTGGTAGCATACTGAAAATGTAGCTCAATTTTATGTAGTTGCATTTGGCATTTCAATTCAGTGGACATTACAGAGCTCTTTGAAATAAATTGATGAAATTGACAAAGCCTGCCGGTGTTACCATCTGATTGATTTGATTTAATTTACTTTCTGGTGTCGTTTTGAGAAAGTATATTGGAAATGTTCTGTTGATTGTATGTATTTAAAGGTAAATCCATCGGACTTTCCTTTGAATAACATTTATTTTGCTTTTATTATAAGGGGATTCCCTAAGTATTTATAGTGTTATATGTGGCCTCAAAGGAATTTCCGCCCCTCCCCTATTTTGATAAGGAACACACTCTTCTTGGCTAATGTCAGTGTTACTACAGAATGCATTTGAAAACGTAGGAAGGTTTATTTCAGATAATTCATATCAGAAAACCCGTGTTCACATGCGAAATTAACCAACATAAGGTGATAGATTTGCACTGCCGGTGTATGACCGACAGATTTAATATCTCGAAAGGGAGGTGCCTCATAAAAATGAGAAGTTTTGTTATAAAATCTCCAATCAGCGAAATCAAAATATATCTTAGTTATTGTTGTAATCTTATGTTATAATAAATACAATCTCATCATAAAAAAACCTGATGTTCTTGGACTATTTATTAGCTAAATTGATATTTTTAGAATTTGGAGGCTAAAAACACCAGAGTTGTCTGGTTCTCATATTGAGGCACTACATATTGTTCATGTGCTTAGCAACATAGAAATGTGGAACCTGGCATGGTACTTGATATTGACAACAGAAATCTCTATTTTATAACTCTATACGTTATAGTATCAATGTAATTATACATTGTCATCAGTATGAGTTTTTCTTTCCTTTACAAATCATTTGTTGGACTATATGAGCATGAACTGATAGCCCTGGGTGGTCTAAAGGGTAGTGAAGATGTTCCTATATTATCTGTTGTCAGGTGTTTGATAAGGTCCAGGCTGGAGATTTGACAGCAGACCAAGTGGTTGCAGAATTCAGGTCACAGTATCAAGATGAGGATGTCAACATGGTGTTTTCTTCAGACTCAGATTATGATGATGGTAGAATAGTAAGTAGAGTGCTGTATATGCTCACACCTTATACCTAGATAGTCAGTATGACATCAACATATTGTGACAGTCAAAATTATGACATAGACACAAACAAATATTAGGTAGCACATCGCTGTGCACAGAGAAACTGTAGGAAATTGACTGCTCACTACTTTTGCATTCTTAGCCCATTACCTGAAAGTGATAATGGGAGAAAGGAATGCAAGCAAGTGCATTAGAAACTGTTATGTTTTCTGTGAATTGTTTATGCAAGAAGTGAGAAGCACTGAAAGGCTTACTGCAAAAGCTACTATCATGTTGTCTATCGCTTTCATTAATGAGAACTATCTATTGACAGTATCTGTGTTGAGAGACAGAGAAGAGGAGGACACAGGCAATGAGTTACTTTTATCAGTTGCATTCAGCTTGTTTACATTTTTGACAAGTCACATGAGATTTTTTAACTTTTAAAGGCAGTAAGAGGTGTTTTAAGAGCCTCTGTCGTTGATGATAATCATTTTAACTCAGGATTTTAATTCTTATTATCGTTTTAGTACACTTTGTTATTTATGAACAAAAATGACTAAACGTATGATGCAAATAGAAGAAATGAGCTTCAACATATTTAATTGTAAGAGAATCAGAAATTACTTAAAGCCTGAAACACCATGAATTAATGTTTTATTGTCCTAATACATATAATACACGATAAAGATAAAATAAGCCCAAATCTTGTTTTAAAACCAAGTAGTCAACCAATCAGTCCACTAAGGTTTATTATTCAATGTGTCATTTCTTTCATGATAACAGAGTTCTGCAGAGTACTTCTCTCGCATTGGCCTCACCTCACTGCCACAAGTTCTCCTAAATGGGGTTCCTCTCAAGAAAGAGACACTTAACCAAGACAGTTTTGAGGAAGGTGTGGTTATGGAGATAATGAAACAGACTCCAGACTTCCAAAAGGCTGTCTATAAGGTAAGAATAAAGATAAAATTGTTTTAAAACAACACACATTCAGACTTAAGACACCTTATTTCCTACACCATTGTGTTGTGTTTAAAGAATTCATGTAATTCCTGGAACATGTGCAACTTGTATCTTTAGTTGTTTTTTTTTCAACTGAATAAACTAGATTGAAAAAGTCAATAATAACAGTTTAAAATGAAAGTTAATGAATTTTATCATTTTACTGAAAGTAAAAACATGTAACTTGAAATCAGATGATTTTTAAATGTAAAATATTTTTAATGTGGCATGAGAAAGGAATAGTACGTGTATTTGATTTTGTAGATGAAAATAATAATTTTTTAAATTATGCCAATTTTTGTAGTAAATTTGATTTCTACCCACCATTCACAATGTTTTATGGTATTGTACAGTGCATCGAGAAAATGATTAGAAATAAGAAAAACATTGATATCTATATGTATATTCCATTTAGACCAAAATTTCTAGAAGTTCTGATGAGAAATCAAAAGGGAGTAAGACCTATATACGATACCTTTGTTACTAGCTTGTATTTTAGACCAAAAAGTGAAATAAAATGGGAAAGTGAGTTGAATGTGTACCACGATGAAAAATGGTGGATGGAAAAGAATAACTCGATTAAGAAGTTGGATGATATGAGCCTTAGATGGTTTCAATATCGACTGCTCCATAGAATCTTAGGAACAAATTCTTTTTTATTTCGGATAAATGTAGTAGAATCAAATTTATGTGTATTTTGTATAAAAGAGGAGGAAACTTTTGTTCATTTGTTTTGGGAATGCAGTAGAATTTCAGAAATCTGGGAACAAGTAAGAGAATGGTTAGAAAATGAGTTAAATATAATAGAAAGATTAAACTGTATTGACATTATATTTGGAAAAGAACAAAGTTTGGTAAATTTAATTATTTGTTTGGTTAAAAAATTTATATATTGCCAGAAAATGACCAAAAGTGTCCCAGATTTCTTGAAAGTAAAAAGTTATATTAATCAATATATGGAAAGTGACTATTTTACTTAAAGCAAAAATATGGATAATGATGGTTTTATTAAAAAATGGAAAAAATTAGGAAGTGATTTTGTGAATAGGAAATTTAACAGTTAAGTACCTTTAGAGCTTGTATGTATATATGGGTGTGAGAGTGTTTTGTAATTTTTTTATTTTTGAAATAAATTAAAAAAAAAAATTTACTGAAAGTTAAAAACCTGTAACTTGAAATCAGATGATTTTTAAATGTAAAATATTTTTAATGAATTCATGGCCGATGGATATCAATATTAAACATGTAATTACCCACCACTAAAAATGGCAAGCATATAGTTGGGGGGGGGGGGGGGTCATAGTGAAATTTTCTGTGTCCCCCAAAGTTGGGGGGGTGCTTGGTTTCTGTGTGTATAGTTATAGTACTACCAACTTGTGTGTAGGAGGTGTCTTGGTTTTAGCCCTAACTAGACTGAAAATGCTCAGTATTAACATAGTTTACATCAAAAATATTCATTCATACCAAACTGTGTGTGCAGTCTGTCATTTGGGATGTCATACTCTGTGAGGATGACTCACACCAGTAGGTAGAAACCTTTACTAGTGTCTTAAGAAAAGATTTGCCTTTTTTTGTCATCATTACACAGGAAGCTATCATAATTTGACAGGGTGAACTGACTGACAGAGATAATGTGTTGGACTGGATAATGGAAAAAGAGAATGTTTTGCCAAGACTGAATGACCAGATACTGGACACCAAGGACAAGAGGTACCTGCAGTTTGGACATGATGCAGGTCAGTAGCGGATCAGTGGGGAACAAGAATTACAAAATATCCTTTTACAGTTGCTTGAAATGTGGCTGAATATTTTATCACATTAAATTATTGATTCTAACTCATAAGAATTAATTCAACCAGTAGATATGTGAAAAGAAATATAAAGTATTGGATATTGTCTTTCTTTGAGTAAGTATTTGTATAAACCGCAGAACATGAAAGTTTTTATGAATAAGCCTTAAAAAGGAATTTATGTATATCTTTGAAACATAAAAAAAGAAAGGTTAAGTGGGCTGTCCATATTTATAACAGTGAAAGAGAGTACATATTCTTTTTTTCCTGTATTCTTTATGTTATCAGATGTCTGTAGGTAATAGTTGAAGTGATAATAATTTGAAATATTGTATTATACAAAGATTCTTTGAAATATGTTTATATGACAAAATTTCAGGTTTGATAGACGTGAACAAAGCTGGCACATACACTGATATGACCGACAAAGAACTGACTGCATCACTAGCTGCTAGCATGGTATATATGAAACGCCAAGGTAGGGAAACTGTGTTTGTACTGCTACTGTTGACTTTTCATTTAGTCCAGATCCTAATTGTTCCATGTTGCTCTTCCCATCTTCCCATAGCAGTATATATGCTATGAGACTTGCACTTTTATTATGTACATACATGGTGTTTACATTTGCCATCATTTTGTTGCTGTTGTCATCACGATGCACTTTTAGAGATGACAAGTTAAGTAGAAAACCATTTGACCCATTGTCTTCAAATTTACAGGACTGATGAATATTAGGAAAGTATAGATAAAAAAAAAAACAGTTTGATTGGACCAGTTTTAAATTAAGTTTATTTTTTCAGTTTTTATAATACTATATGTAATTCAGATGACACATTAAGGATTTGGTAGCCTTTAGTATCATCCAGACACCAAAAGGAGTTTTTACCTGCATCTAATTACCTCCGCCAAGGAGGTTATGTTTTCACCCCTGTTTGTTTGTTTGTTTGTTTGTTTGTTTGTTTGTTTGTCATCAATATAACTCAAAAAGTTATAGATGAAGTTCGATGGAATTTTCAGGGTAGGTCAGAAATGGGTTAACTTAGAAGTGATTAGTTTTTGGTAGTGATCCGGATCAATAATCAATCAATAACCAAAAAACTAAGTTATGGACCGATTTTGATGAAATTTTCAGGAACAGTCAGAAGTGGGCCAAGGAACAGATGATTAGTTTTTGGTGGTGATCCAGATCAATAATCAATCAATAATAAAAAAATATTGAAAAATTAGGCGTGAAACGGCTTTGGATGGAGACTTTGCTGCCTTGGCAGAGGTCTGCACTTTCTGAGTGCTTTTCTAGTTATTCAATGATTTGTACCCTTTGTGTGTAAATCTATTCTAGTAGATGTGCATAATCATGGTAGATAACATAATTTAACATTTTGTTGGATCAGTGTTGAATCAACATGGGAGCATTAAAGTGGGTTACCTGTCTAAAGAAATAAAACTGGAAGTGATTTGCTTTTTAGTTTTACTTTGTTGTATTTTTGATATGCTGTATGGTATGTGATGATAAACTAGAATCAATGTTAATTCTCCAAAGGATTGGATAACAAAGTTCTGAAAGCTTGACAAGAAAATTGGCAAATATGTGAACTCTGTGTTCTTTAATTTTCAGAGGAGGCAGACAAGCACCCTATCACCATGTGGGTGGTGGCAGATCTTTCCTCACCTGCTGGAAGAGCTCACCTCTACAGTGCTGTTAGACATTTGGTAAATATCATGGAGTGTTATTGTTCTGGAATGTATCTTGACATATATATATATATATATATATATATATATATATATAAGATTCCAAACTGATCTTTATGAAGATGATTTTTGTTATAGTTATATGAATACTGCTGATGTGCAATATTAGTGTGTTTTTACAACAGGGGGAACTTTTCCTTTTATTCTAATATTTTCAAAAGGGCATTCCACCTAGCACATCCAAATATCAACACAGTCAGATGTATCAGTTGTTGTGAATTATTTAATGGAAATATGTCAGCAAGATAGTCATCATTATAAGATCAGATTGCTACTGAAGCTATATATGTCACTTATGAAGATGACGGGCTTTGCATTGATTGAAGTGCCTAGAGTTTGAACTTCACAAAAATTATGTTTTATTTAAGATTGAAGAAACTAAAGCAAACAAGACCAGGTGTAGGTGCAATAACTGTACCAGGCCCATAGCCAGCAAATTCAAAAGGGGGGTTCTTTTTCTGAAAAAGTGGACCTTTTACAATGAAACTTGTGTGTACCTAGATAAAATTCTACCCAAAATGGACCTTTTCCTGACAAAAGGGGCAGTTCTTTCGAACCCCCCGAACCCCCCCTGGCTACGGGCCTGTGTATGATTTAAATTGTACCATCCAGATAGGAGATTGTACGTTGACATTTTGTAATTAGTATTTAAAAAGAACAAAATCATTAAATGATGGAAATGGGCAGGATAAAATTTTAAAGGTAGCAGAATGCTCTTTTTGTCAGTTTCAAGAGATACAATAGCCAGACAGATTAGAATATTAATGTACCAAGGAGTGTAGATAAATCTGGGCCACAGCAGTGACTGCTGCAAAATTTTAAAAGCAGCTGGATGGCTTTAAAAAAAGATCAAGTATTGCCAAGTATTACAATAAACCAAATAAAGGCAAAGAATTTTCAGAAGCATTTAAATATTTAGAAAAAGTATGTTGAACTATTCAATTGAGCTATAATTGCTCTCATAATTACCGGCAAAGGTATGTGCTAGTGCGCATGTGTTCTCGACTAAAATGGGGATTTTGTACGGCCTCCTTTGTGTGGAAATGAAATAGAATAAAATAATTAAATGAAATTCATTGAAATTTGATTAGAGTTCTATGGAGTTTCTAATTCAAATGAGAGGTAATTAGCTCACCCACCTCCCCTTCTTCCATAACAAAGGGTTGGAGTACCTGGTTTACATATTTAGATATGTATAACTGTATATAATGTGTTGAAGTTATTATGTATCTAAGATAATAGTAAGCATTGATTTCACTTGCTTGCAGTCACCATATTTCTACTTTAATACATCTTTTATGATCAAATACAGCTACATATATTATGTTTTTCTTATTAATTCTGCTCGAAGCATCATTCAGTCAAATGACATATTTTTTTAGATATTTAAAATCAATCAAACAGTCAGCCATTCTGTGTGTCTTTGTAGAAGCACAGTCATACCCTGAGGGTTGGTATTGTCCACAACCCTCGCAGTCTCAGTACCAAGTTGTATGAAGGCAGCCAGATTCCACTGGCCATCCACACAGCACTGGGAACTCAGGTTCCACACATTGCCAGGAGCTTTGTCACCAAGCTGCTGAAAGAGGACAACATACATGCCATTTTGGAAGGGACAAAGTCACTCAGTGACTTGGAAGTCCATGTAAGCATTTCTCTCTCTCTCTCTCATTCTCTCATTATGTGTGGTATCTTTTTAATTAGATAACAAATCATGTCAAACTGATCCTAGGGTATGGTAATGGAGGTGTACCTCAAGGCCCTGGACGTACAGACGGTGGCTTTCCTACAGTTCCACTCAGCCTTCTGCACCCACGTCCTGGGCTTTGAGCCAGGCGCCCGAGGAGTTATAGTGAATGGAAGAATAATTGGTCCATTAAAAGACCAGGAAACATTCATAGAGGATGACTATAATCTACTGGAGAAATATACACTGAAGTCGTCTGCTGAGAAAATTGTTCAGATGCTGACGGGATTTACAGAGGACACAAAGAGGTACAGTCAGTGTGGAAGTGATAGAACATGGTCAGTGTGGAAGTGAATATAACATGGGGCTTAAGGCAGACTCACTTTGGTGTGGAAAAATCTGTTGAAATTTTCTACCTCCTGTGAGGTTTGTGATTTAAATGTAAAATGACTGTCAATATAACATCAGGTAGAAACATCTAGGCTATTATATAGTGCATCCATGTGTTTGATTTTCATGCACTGATATTACACATCTGATTTCAATTTACTGTTGTGAAAATGTAACCAAAATTGTTATTGAGATAAATAAGATGGAACAGAAGTGGATTTTGTTTTTTATTTAATTAAGATTGTGTGCTTAAGTCAAAAATTCTAAACTTAAATATTTATAATATGTATATATAAATAGTTTTGTTTCCAAGGTAATTTGAGTAAAACAGTTAATGATCCCAACTTGAGTCTAGTCTAATTTTCTGGCCCTCTTCGTATGAAAATGCAAACAGTTTTAATCCTCTGCTTTTATTTTAGTGCAATTTATCACATTGTTCATTTTCTGATAAATATTTAGTTTTCTGGTACTGCTCAGTACTTTTTTCTTAAAATTTGAAAATATTTGCCATGACTGCAATGTTTTGGTATGAATTGTGATACTTAAAGTAGGTTTTGTATAGTTATTACCTCCGCCAAGGAGGCTGTTTTTGGTTCTGTTAGTTTGTCTGTCTGTCCGTCTGTCTATCTGTCTGTCTGTCTGTCTGTTTGCTAGCAACATTACAGAAAAAGTTATGGACCGATTTTGATGAAATTTACTGGAACTGTCAGAAGTGGACCAAGGAACAGATGATTAGTTTTTGGTGGTGATCCTGATCAATAATCAATCAATAATCAAAAAACTAAATCATTATAGATTGAAAATTTAGGGGTGAAACGGCATATGTTGGAGACTTTGCTGCCTTGGCGGAGGTCTGTGCTCTCGGAGTGCTTTTCAAGTTGGTCATTTGATTTTTGCAAACTATTTCAATGCTAAAAGGCACTGATGAACAGTTTACTTAGATAATGAGAACTTTTTTTATCAGATTTGTAAAATGCATTGCACCCACATATCAGCAGTGAGTGTTTTTATATTCTTTATTTTTGATTTATTTCATGGCCTACTAAAGCAATTCAGATCAGGATACTTTTTATTGGCCTCTCTCCTGTTAGTGCTAGATGGTGGCGGGGGGGGGGAGAATGGCCCTTAAAGCAATGAGACACACATGGAGTGTGGTTTTAAGTTACCTTTATAAGTATTATTTCTATTATTATTATTATTATTATTATTAT